GGGAGGGGGGGGGGGTTCCTCCCCCCGGCCGGAACCCTCCCCCAATTTGGGGCCCCCGGGGGGGATGTCCCGCCTGTCCAGTTTAGGCCCGGTCAGGCCTAAACCGGCAGTCGGACTTCCTTCTCACAACCCGGGGGCGGCTGGGGTCCTAACCATTACCCTGCCTGCCTGCCTTATCACCCCCTAATCAATCTGCCTGCCAGCCTGCTCGCCCCCAACAATCCCATTCCCCTCCCCCCACCCCCGCCGGCCTTCTTGTCCCCAAATGACCTTTCCCCCACTGGCCTGCTCGCCCGCAACTGCCCCCACATACCCCCCCACCCCCGCTGGCTCCTCACCCGCAACTGGCCCCCCTCCTCCACCGGCCTGATTGCCCCCACCTGCCCCCCCCCCCCACTGGCCTGCCCATCCCTAACTGCCCCCCCATGCCAGTCTGCTTGCCCCGAACTGGCCCCCCTGCCAGCCTGCTTGTCCCCAACTGCTCCCCCATCGGCCTGATCGCCCCCAACTGCCTGAGGGCCCCTAACCCGATCGCCCCTAACCACCTCTGCCTCGGCCCTGCCACCATGGCTTTGTCCAGAAGGTCTCTTGGTCTAATTAGCATATTACCCTTTTATTAGATAGATAATAAAAGCCTAATGTGCTAAGTGTCCAGTCGACTAGTCATCCGTTCAACCAATCAAAGGGTAATATGCTAATGATATGCTAAGGCCACTCAACCGCTTGTTATGACATGCACTGACCACCAGGGGGCAGACTGTCAACCGATTGACCAGTCACTATGGCATGCACTGACCACCAGGGGTCAGATGCTCCGACTGGTAGGTTAGTTTGCTGCTGGGGTCGGGCGATTGGGACTGAGTGAGATGGGTCTCACATGCCCTGGAGCCCTCCTGCGGTCCCTCCCCGGCTGGCCAACTTCCCGTGTCCCTCCCTGGCTCTGATTGTGCACCAATGGGGTCCCTTGGCCTGGCCTGTGCCCTCTCACAATCCGGGACCCCTTGGGGGATGGCGGAGAACCGGTTTCAGCCTGATCCCACAGGCCAGGCTCAGGGATCCCACTGATGCACGAATTCGTGCACTGGGCCTCTAATAATGTATAAGACCTCTACTGTTTCTTTTATAACTTGAGGATTATTTTCCTGGTTAACATTTATTGACCAGTAACTAACTATATGCCAGGCACTGTTCTAAATATTTCTCTGTATTAAACTTACAGCCCATTTATTATATATAAAGATGCCATTTCAAAGTATGACTAAAAGTGAAAATAAGTTATTGTATATAAAGGGGGGCAGTTTGAACTTTATAATTTGCAGTTACTTTTGCTTACTTGGTGTATTATTGCATTTTAGGTGCAGGCCGTTATGTGCCAGGGTCTGCAAGTATAGGAGCTACCATATCTGGAGTTGATCCATTTACAGGTATACACTTTTCATTTCCTTCTTTTTAAAGATTTTTAAAGTATTGAAACTCTTATTTAATAAAAGATTAAGAAAATTGGCGTATTTTTTCTTGCTAGAGAACTTTCTATATAGTAAATCAAGACCAAACTTGGTGGCTTGGCTTTTAGCGTGTTCTCAGAATTATCATTACTGCACATTAGAATCACCTGGGAGCCTTAGAACAAGTACTTCAACCTCATCCCTGGAGATGCTCACTTGGTCTGATATTGCTCTGGGTGTGCCCTTGGCAAGGGAGTTTCATAATCTTCCGATGTGATTCTAATATACTTCTCTTCTACTGCAGCTGCTTTCCTTAGTACCCTTGCCAAATCCCAGTTTATTCCAGTCTCTCCTTTGTTCATTCTTAATGTGTTAACAGTGTTATTCACTACATTACACATTGTTCTTATAAAGGGGCTCTGAAAAGAATTTGTTTTTATAATTTAGGCCTAGAATTATAATATTTCATCTTCTCCTGCACAACTAATTT